TCCCACCTGGGGCTCGTGGTCTCACCTGGTGCTCTGGTCCCACCAGCCCCACTCCCCACTGCTGCCCCCCCTCACCTGCTGCCCCCCTCACCTGCTGCCCCCCTCACCTGCCGCCCCCTCTCACCTGCTGCCCCCCCTCACCTGCTGCGCTGCCATCCCTCAAACTCCAACCCCGCAGAACCCCGGGGGCTCTCCCAGGGCATCCCCGCTGCCCACCTGGGCACGGTGCAGTTCACCTGTGCCCATCCCTGTGCCCTCCGTGGGTGTGTCTGTCCCTTGTCCCCCCGCCATCCCCTCTGCCCCCCGGGCTTGTGCCACACCAAAGCCACAAAACATTCCGGCGCGGCCCAGCCCGCTGCCCGCGCTTCCCAAGGCAGCGCCGTCGCCCGGGGCTCAGATGTGGCTGGCACAGGCCGTGGGGCCGCCGCTGGTGCCAGGCACGTTGCCCCAGCTGGGAGTGGTGGGTGAGATTTCCACGGGCGCAGGAATGCGATCGTACCGGCGGCTCCAGCCCGAGCCAGATGTGCCACCGAGAGCCAGGCCCTGCTCCTGGCGAGGGCTCCTGAGCTGGGCCAGGACATTCCCGGTGCCAGGGATGTGCCCAGCGCAGGGCACAGCTCCAGTCCTGCAGCCTTTGGCTTGTTCGGAGAAGAAATGAGTGCAGAGAGGGTTTAGGGTGAAACTGCAAAAGCAGGACTGGAAGCCACGAGGAGGTGGCCAGGTGGCCAAAGGGACCAGGACTGGGAGGGGACAGCAGGCAGTGCTGAGGGGGTCAAAGGGAACGGCCCCAGCCCCGGTGTGTGGGGTCTGGGACTGCCCCAAGAGGTGCCAGGCCAGGGTCGTGGTGCTGCAGTGCCTGGGGACAGTCCCCGTGCTCCAGGTGTCCCCAACTCCGGGGGTGGGGACACAACCAGTGCCACCCTGGCAGGCAGCTGGGCCCGTCCCATGGGCCAGGGCACGCAGGTGATGGATGCCCAGCTGCCAGGACCGAGCTGGCTGGCACCACACGGACGTTCCTGGTGCCCTCAGGGCTGTGGGGTGCCCAAAAATCAGCCGAGCACCCAGGGATGGGGATGTGCCCTCTCCCTGTGCCCTGTGCCCACCCAGGACAGGGATGTGCCCCCTCCCTGTGCCCACCCAGGACAGGGATGTGCCCCCTCCCTCTGCCCTGTGCCCACCCAGGACAGGGATGTGCCCTGTGCCCACCCAGGACAGGGATGTGCCCTCTCCCTCTGCTCTGTGCCCACCCAGGACAGGGATGTGCCCTCTCCCTCTGCTCTGTGCCCACCCAGGACAGGGATGTGCCCTGTGCCCACCCAGGGATGGGGATGTGCCCCCTCCCTCTCCCTGTGCCCACCCAGGACAGGGATGTGCCCCCTCCCTCTCCGTCCCTTCCTGCCCACCCAGGGACGGGCTCTGGCCTCTCCCGCGGTGGGCACTGGCGCCGGGCCCGGCAGGAATGCCAGCAATGCCTTTTTGGGAAGGGAGGGGACGCGGCGCCGTGCCCTGGCAGCGCTGCAGCGCCCGGGGCTCGCCAGGCTCCGGCGCCGGGCGGCTCTGCCGGTGGCAGCGGCTGGGACACACCCGGCCGTGCCCACACACCTGTGCCACCGAGCTGCAGGTGGGCACCTGCCCAGGGGATGTGACAGCGGCTGACAGTGCACTGAGGGCATGGACAGAGCGACGGACCGACGGACTGACCCCCCGTGTCCTGAGCAGACTGACAGACTGACAGACACACGGACTGACACCCCGTGCCGTGAGCACAGACTGACAGACCGACGGACTGCAGCCCCTTGCACTGAGCACACTGACAGACAGACAGACAGACAGACCGCAGCCTCCTGCCCCGAGCAGACAGACAGAC